TTACACTTACATTTATTTTATCACCTATGAAACAGCTTCTCTTAATCTTTCTTTGTGTTAAGCTCAGTTAAGTGAGCAGATTCTCACTGTTTCCATCAGATAGTGGCCAGTTTGTTTCAGCTAAACTATTCTTTTCAAGTGTTGAATGAACTTGTAAAAAAAAACAAGCTGTTTTAGTGTTAATACTCGGGACTCTTGAAGACATACAATTCTCTTCCAATGTATTAGTGTTGGAGACAGTTATTCCAGTTTATGATATCTAACACAGGTGCAAACATTCAATTGCAGCAATCATTTCATCCCAGATTGTAACACACACTTCACATATTCTTCTTAGGAAGCAACATCAGTTGCTGGAGTAAAACAACATGCAACCCCTGCTTCCAACAGAACAGCTTAGGGTTGATCTACTTCACAGCCTAAACTTATATTTTATGCTACCTGGAGTAGCCTGTCTGTATGTGACGCTTGTCTGCTTTTTAGATAAACTATAAGACCCTAAACTGAAACTGAGGAAAAGTTGCTTGCTTGACTAAATATTTTCGACACTTAGAGTTTTGACTTGTCACGATATGAAAATAAAAAAAGACTGTTCTATTCAACAACTTTGAAATATTTACTCTGAAAAAGGCTGATTGGTTATGAGCACCATTTAGTTACACAGCAGCAGTCTTTGTCAAACTGTCAAATCACTCATCACCCTTCAGATTTATTTGAATTAGATTAATAAAGGTATGTGATATTTTAAAACTACTGAACACTAGACAAACAAATGAGTCTGCACATCTGCAGACACTGCATACTGTTTAATATAACATATTAAGATTAAAGTGAATAAAAAAACACACAAACTTTAATGCTGCGTGACGCAGTATTCTAACTCACGCTATTCGGACTATGCTGCACTATACTTGTCTTTTTTATATTATTCTGTGGTACAGTACAAATACTATAATAATAGCAGGTAATGAACAACCATCCTGTTGACAAAAGAGGTTACATTTGACCCACCCACTGCACATCATGCACAGACCCCCACCCAAAGCACCCAAACCTCTACCTAACCCTCCCTCCGCCCCCCTCCCTCGTGAGCCTGAAGTGTTTTAAAAACATGAATGCACTTTTCTCTGGTTACAGAGATTCCGCTCAGCATAAGAGTATGAATAGAAAGAATGGAAAGAAACTGTGTGTATGAATGAATGTCTCTGTGAATGTAGCTGTTGTATGCTCGCATGAGTGTGTTTGGGCTTGGGGCGGTATATGTACGGCTGACTGTGCAGGCTTTTACTGTATTCTTGGTGAGCACAGAGAGGGAAACTTGTTAGCGCTGTCCAATTCAAAGGAAAGACAAACAAAAATCAATTAGTTGTCAGATGTTAGAACTCTAGTTTTCAGGTGAGTCTATATGGGTGAACACAGTCAAATTAGCAGGTGATTACATGAGTTGTGAGTCAGAAAAGGGTGGTGCATGTCTAGAAGACACTGACCACAAACTCTGAGACTTGCACAGGGGACCTGTTAGGGATCCTGTGCTATGGCTTAATTAATCGCCATTATCTGTTTCTTACTAAATGAAGTCTAAAAGGGGCAACATCACAATTTACGTATCAGGTTCCAAAAGGAATCACCATAGCTGCAACATCACAGTGTCGAAACATCTTGGGCTTGGAAACTGTGATTCTGAAATTTTAATAGCTAGTACAGACTCACTTGTCTGTCTTCACCTGGGTTTTATTTTGAATTCTTTAGCTGCCGTCATCTCTACACTCGAGTCATGCAATTTAGAAAAAACAAAACAAAACAAAAAAACATTCTTTCAGAATATTGATCCCGACTGGTGTGCAGAGTCCAGGAAAGGCATGCACAGGTCAGTCCACCACAACAGGAAATAGACACGTGGTGTGAGTTAACAAAAGGAAGACAGAAAGGAAAAAAAAAAGAGAAATGTAGCAAGAGTGGGGTGGGGGGGATGTGCCGAGTGTGATGTCATGGTGTAGTCACTCAGTGCGTAGGGAGCTGCTTCTCCGCTGACTCCCCTGCCTCCCTTCCCCTGGTCCCCCCATACCATCTCTGTCTGTCGCACCTCAAAGGATGGCTCCTCCCCCTCCTGTTCTCCCCCTTCGTCCTCCTCACCAATGTGGCAGCTCTGAAAGCAGCAGACAGAATGTCGGTGAATTATTCTCTTCTGAAGTTCAGCTTCAAGATCTATTCCCATTGGTGTTTTACAGGTCTTACCTTTGCCATAATATCAGCATATGACATATAGAGATGGTCAACATCAAGTTTACTGTAAAGAAATACCACAGAGCAGGAATCAGTAAGTGTCACTGAGGAACAGGTCAGAGAACTGAGGCAGAGGAAGAAAGACGCTCTCACAGCTTTTCTGTAAGAGCTGTGCGGCTGAAATGAAGAATCAGCTGATGAAGGGGGTCAGGCTTCGTCTCAGTCTCCTCTTCCTCTTCCTCCTCTTCTTCCATGGTTTTCTAATCGTTAATAGATAGGATAAAACATGACAGACCCTTTGTATAAAGAATAGACAATATGCCAGTGATGAAACATTAATGAAAGTGTAACTTACTGATAAGTCATCAATCATCTTGTCTTCAAATGAGTAACCCTCGGTTTCTAACCAGTTGCGTTTGTATGCATCCAAGAACATGTTGGTTACCCTGTGCCTGCAAACAATGAAAGATCACTGACAATTAGGGATAATTAAGATAATTAGGTATAATGCCTCATAAAGCCTTTTGATTTTATTGTCGATCATGTTTTGAATAAGTAAGTTGCTAATCATTACGTGGTGATGTTGTACAGAGGCGTCATCCTGAAACAGGCCACCACAGCTCTGCGACGCTGTTTAGACAGCAGCTTGTGCCAAACCATTTTCTTTGACTTGAAGGGATGTTCAGTCTAATGTACAAAAAATAAATAATTATCTTGGAAAATGTCTCAATTTTCTTAAGCTCTGCATTGCCTGCTGGGTTATAGTCATAGGATCAGAGAGATAAGGACTTTTTAAACGGAGAGCCAGTTCCAGACCTTCTTTTATTGAGGATGCCTGGTTGTACTCACCACTTCAATGTGGTAAAGGACAGCAGACACCTCTTGTACTCTCTTCACCACCTTCTCCGGATCATCGGCATCTTCTGCTTTCCCAGACATCTCTTTATAAAGAGACATCTGCCAGCGCATTGCTGGGTCCTCTACCTAAAATATAACACGTCAATGTGTATAATGAACAGAATGAATAGATTTATACAGGAATGCGTTTATTATCTTCTTTCAGTTAGTAAAGAAATAAAAAGTCTGCCTACCTTGCCTTGCAGATGCAGGTTGTTGTGCAAGAATTCCCTCACCTCTTCATCTGTGTCTTTCTACGAGTTAAAGAAACCAAGATTTGGAGGACATTTATAATCCTATAGTTTAGTAATTAACAGCAAGCAGCCTCTAAACAAATTTGGGAATGAAAAAAGTAACAGAGTTATATGACTGTGGAAAAATTATTATTATATATATAGAGAGAGATAAAATCATTTCTACCCATTTTGTGTCAAAATGTATGCTAACAAAGAAGCAACGCTTTTGCACTATAGAAATTTAAAGCGCTATTAATCTATGAAGCAAGTTTTGCCCAAAGAAATCACATTAATAAGCACAAGTACCAGTGAGTATCTGATCTTGGCAAGGTTGATGAGTTCCTGGTCTGCAGGAGAGCACATATTGAGGCCGATGGGAAGCATCTTCTTTAGCGCTGCTACAATTAGGGAGGTCTGCACAGAGTAGCGGTCCCCCCGTCGCTTCTTCTTGGTACGCTCCTGCTCTGAGCTGCCAGACTACAGAGAGATTAAACTGATTGAACACTTTCTATTCCATGAAGCAACTATATGGCACCAATAAAAAATCCCTTTTCAGAAAATGGTTTGTGGCATTTAAGGCTTTGGAGAATATTTAACAACTAAACAACATATTTTCTTCAACTTTTCATGTCATGTCATGTGCTTCATTGCTGCACCAGCAACAGGTGTTACACACAATGCAGCTTCACTGTTAGTACTGCAGTGGCCAGACAGGGCACATCCTGTCCATTGGACATCACAGAGAACAGCACATGGGGTCAGCTCCATCGCGTGGAGCTCTTCTCACACACTCCTATCCAGAGGCTGACAATGCTCATTACTGTCTGTTGTCTGGCCTCACAGCACCCTCTCTGCCCTTATTGTGCATGCTTGGTGTTGGTGTGTGTGGGTGGAAAACACTCTATGGGCTTTGAGAGTCATTGTGATGATCAGGAAACAGAAGCTCACTACAGTAATGCCCATCTGATAGCCCAGGAGAAGAGGTTCTACTTGCACCAACCACGTAAAACATCAAACAGTGATTAGGTTTATTTAACAATTTAATGGTGTCAATGAACATGACATGAAGTAACGAGTCCAGTTAGTAAATATGATGACAGTATTCTGGTGATGTAGTGAGAGCTAGCTTAATTTCCTGCAAAAGATCCAGCGACTGACATTTGCTACTGGTGGACCGAGCAACAGCAGGGAATGGACTTTTGGTTTAAACAGCTACTGAAAAGAGAAGAGTTCCCCAGCGCAGGAATCTCTGACACAAAAGCTGAAAAAAAAACCCCAAGCATCAGTGACACAAGTAACATCACAGTAGCACGGGCTCCATAACTGTATCCAACAAGGATCATCGAAAGGCAAACTATTTACTGGTCAAAGAAAAACAGGGTGATGGTACTCGGCTGCAGGAGTGCACACACCAAATTATATACGCTACTGCTCTGCCGAGCACCATGAAACCTTTCACACTACTGTGATCTACAGCAAAGAGCTTTCATCAAGCTGCTCCGGACCCCTACTCACACATATACAGACACACATAAAAGCATATGTTTGCGACACATTCACACTCACATTCTTTACTCCTAAAAAACAACTAATATATTTGTGTATAATATAATCTCACACTTCATTCATTCACTCATAGATGTGTAGTGAAGTCTCTCCTAAGAGGAAAAACCCTGTATGTGTGTGTTTGTGTGTTTGTATACGTGTGAATATTGGGATCTGTCTATTAGCAGTTGATGAAATGCCTCCGCAAACTCAGGGTGCCATGCGATCAGCACAGCTCTCGTGCACAAACACGGTCTAACCTCTCCATCTCCGGCCTAGTGGCCCAGCGTCCAACCCCGACACAGGATATATATGGAGAAAAAACAGTTAGCAACAATCTTACTACTACACTATATACTGCCGCTTACACAGACCTGGGAAAAAAAGGATATTAATATTTATGTAACAGCCCATCAGTCTTCTTGTAGAAACTTATTTGTGAAATGACTGAAATGAACACTTACAGAATAATCATAAAGCTACAGCAGCTTAAAGAAAAACAATGAAATAACAGCTGAGAAAACACCAAGAAGGGCTTCCTGTTACTTTTCTCTGCTTGTAATGGGTGGTGTTAGTGAAACATTAATTATTAGAGTTTAGTTTCTTAATGTGTTATGACTCAAGATATGGAAGTAGGTGAATCAAACATCTAGAGAACAGGCAATGTTTTACTTTTACATTTCCTTTGCTCTCAGATAGTACCTTGCTCATCTTGCTCTTACTGTCAGCAGTCAGGAAGGACATGTTGTTGATCTCATTCATCACCACGAAGTTCTGCTCCTCCCTCTTGAAGTTCTGCAATATATAACACAATAAAGATGCTAAACGAGAGACGGAATAAATGCATACATATATGATGTCATAAAACAGAAGACTTACGTGGGATTTGGACCAGAAAATGAAGACCTCACCCACCATCCTGAAAAGCTCCTCTGCATCTGGGTCTGGACAAGTCAGCCACCTTGCCCTACAGACACAGGAAGCAATAGATAGTTCTTAAACGTGAATCATGACCAGCAAACAAAAGGGTGAAATGAAAGTGGAGCTTTCTTTTAAAACCTTGAATTATTGTTCCTGTTGAGTTTCCTGTTCTACTGTTCAGATTTTGAATTTATTATTTCTTGTAGGTTTAGTTCCCTGGTTCCATCCCTCTGCCTCAATAACAACATTGTGCCTCATTGCAAGACAAAAAAGCGTCATATTATGCTCCCCATAATTTCTAATTTCAATAAAAAAAAGAAAACTGAAGCAGAAATGTGTTTCATATAAAGGTGCTGCTAATCTCAGCTACCTGTTGTTGTCCACGTAGCGAATGAGCAAAGGGTAGAGAGCGTACAAGTCCCGACAGAGTACAGCAAACTCATCTCGAATGGTCCCGTTTTCGCTGTCCACCTCTGTTTTGCCCTCCATGCGCAGATGATCCTCCTCTGCCACCACCTTTGCTGCACGCTTCTTCAGCTTTTCCATGGTTGGGATAAAGTGGGATTTAAGCATCTCTGGTTTAGCCCTGCTGACAATGGGCTGAGCGAACACTGGACAAGGCACAAAACATTTGCCAGTCATCTCCAAATAATAGTTGTGTAACATGTGAAAATGTAGCTGTTTACACATTATGATATGCTGCAATACTATAGCTATGTGTCACGTGACATTATTTTGGCTTATTGTAAATCCTCTGGTCACTAACCTGCTAATCTTTTCATCCAAGAGGCTTCATCTATACCCAGGTTGTTAACCACAATCTTCATGATGCTACCCAGCAGCTGGTTGAGTTGCTCGGAGGTGACAGCGGTGCAGAGCTGGCCGTCCTGCTCGGGGAAGTTCTCTGGGCCTCTCTCCCACCAGCGCGGGAGATAGTTGCACAGCATGGGCAAGGTGATCTCAATCACATGGGGCATTTCTGTGTAGCGAGCTCCAGACTCAGCCAGGTCATGGATCTCTTTCATCAGAATCTCCAGTTCTGGGATGTCAGGACACAGCTCTTCTACTTGATTGGGAAGACCAAGAACTAAGCGGGGAGAGAAAAGACGAGTGAAATCACGGACATGAAAAATAACTCAGCATGAACACTATCTAATAGTTTGAAGCATGCAAAATGAATCATAAAGGTAAAAGAAGACAGCAAAACTCACTCGCTCTCTCTCTAGGAGTCTTGGTCGTGTAAACAGAAAATGAGTTGAATTCATTTAGCACTGGTTCAAGAAAGGCTACCGGCATAGCAGCTGCTAAGTGGGCCAAACACTCGCCAAGAGCTGGTCGCTGTCTGTAAAGGAAGGAAAAAACACGCATACTCATAAGATGTCTGTATGAAATAACACATGCAAAATCAACCTTTGAAAGAATACATGCACATAAAGAAAAATAAATGTTTCTTGCTATGATATTTGATATATAATGAAAAAAGTAAAACTAGTTCCAGGCTTTTTTTTTAGACCATGTCTCTACTCACTTCTCCACATGTGGAGTCTTCACAGTGCCCAAAGAGTAGATGCTGCACATTAGACGATAGCAGGATATCTGCAAGTCGTCCACTGAGAATGTCGAGAAGAGACTTCATTAGCTCTGAGTTGGTCCAGAGTAACAAGTCATTAATGGTTCATTTAAAGGACAAAAGCATTCTACTTACTCATGACATCATCACCAAACTGGTGTTGGGCAATGTGGTCAAACAGTGAAGTGAGGACTGGCAGCAGGGCAGTGGTGGTGTAGTTGATATTCTGTGCTACACCCTTAACCTGTAAACAACACACAAATACAGATTTCAGTTCACAAGAAAAACATGAACACATTTGTTTAGTGAGCAAAAAGAAAAGAAAACCCTCTCTGACCTGGTTTCGACTGGACACCTTGCCCAGTTTCAGATTTTCAACCATCTTCTCAATGTCATCCGCAGCGCTCTCAAAGAACTGACGCAGGCCGGCTTTCACAATCTCAGGGCCTGATTTCATAACAGTCCTTAAAGAATACACAGAGAAAAAGTTTTTCTAAAAATCTCAGACAGTTTGTTTCTATTTTCTCTTTGCTTGTGGAGCAACAGGGATGTTTTATGGGTATATTGTGATCTACCTGGCATCCAGTGATCGTGAGAGAATGTGCAGGCAGTTTACCACTGCAGGGGCATCCGTTCCTGAAAACATAACAAAAAAGGTGCATTGTCAGTGCTATCCTTCAGCTCTACAAGAGCCCAAATTACTGCAAATGCCACAATTAGCTCTAAACCTGGTATACAGTTTGTTGGGAAACATTGAGCAAACTCACAATTACACTACAACGGTAAAGTCTGAATCTTCTGAATCACAAATGTTAAATACATAGCTGAAACAACAATAATTATTATTTAAGAAAAGAGCATAAAAAGTTGTTAAAAAACAGTTTCTTAAGTGCAATGCCACCATCACAGAGTTTTATTTAGGCACGTTTAAAGTGGAAGATCATATTGTGCTGGTGAGACAAGCTCACCTGTCCACTGGCCATGTAACAATGACAGTCTACTTAAGACATATGGTGGTGAAGGGGAGTAAAATGACAACAAAGCATTCATTGTCTCATATAAGCCAGGATGATAACACACGACAAAGCTGCAGTACAGTACCAGTGGATATCTGACGCCGTCACAGACATTCATGCTAACTTTGTGGATACCTTTTAAATCAAAGACAAACTACAGCAAACATTAAAGCCAAGCAAAAGCTGAGCTAAAGACAGAGAAGAGAAGAACTGGTAAGTTAGGAGGAGGTAACGATGATTTATTAGTTTGATTAGTATGTAAAGTAAAGGTAGGGAGGAGGAAGAAGCAAAAAAATAAAACGCTGTAATAAAGAGAAATTACACAGGAAAACAAATACAGAGATGGTGACAGGGCATGACATCATGCAATTTCCTTACCAAAAAGAGATACTCTGTGCCTCACCAAAGCAGCCAACTTACAGAAGATACTGAGGTAGGAGGAGAAGAGAGGAAGGGAGAGAGGAAGGGAGTATAGTAAGGGGAAACAAGGCAGGAAAAATGTTTGAAGTACACATAAAGCAAAAGGAAAGTAAAGGAGATCATGGATATCACACAACAGGAGAAAGATGGAGGGACATGGAAGGAGAGGACAGATACTATCACACTGTCCTAGAGGGAAAGGAAATGCCAATTTTTTCAGGACACATAATTCAAGGTAAGATTGATTTTTTTTAAAAATATGGTTTTATGACACATACCTCGCAATCATCTCCTTCTCTTTATTTGAGGAATGACCTCCACTGCCCAATACTTTGGCAGGAGTGGAGAGAAAGTACAGGCAGTGGTTCTTGAAGTACTGATTTACCAGCGGCAAGAGGATCTATAAAAAAATAACCCAGCATAAAATATCCAATTATAAATAGTATCTGCTTAGTAAAGCTACAGAATAAAAGGCGTTTCTCAAAATCACAAATTGTGGCAACTATCACCCTCTGACATCCACGGGAAAAAAAGTACGACGAATAAAGAAGCTCACCTTGGCAAAGAATTTGATTTCTTGTTCGTGTGGTGACTTTTCCACTCTACCGCTGCTAACTACAGCCTCTGTTAGAAAAAATAAAAATAATAATTAAACCACTTCTGACTTTATTTCTGGTCTAAACAGCAGTGCACACAGTATAAGTACAAAAATCTATGTGTGTTCAATCACAGTACCAAGATGAGCGATGAATTCCTGGGCAATGTCCATCCATTTAAGAAGCTTCTGAAGGAAGCCATAAGCAAAACGCTTTTCAATGGAGGAGATGTCCTGTTCCATATCCTTTAGACCTCTAGGAGTGGAAAAAAAGATGGAGGAAATATGGAAGGAGTTGAAAGAGAAAAACGGATAGCTCTAATCTTAAACTCTGAGAGCTCCAGCTTACCTCGTCACAGCGTATCCATTAAGCTGGAGGAACTTGAGCAGATCCTGGGCTTTCTCCCTGTCTCTGGCCTTCTCCTTAGCCGTCAATGTGTCATAAGGCACGAGCAAAGGATGAGTACCACCACCTAGCAAGGGCACAAGTCATTTTTTAATCAACATATCATTAAAAAGAAAACTCCCAGTTTACTGTAATAAAAACTACTCTTGCCTTTGGACTGTAGCTCCAACTTCTTCTTCCTGCCCCAGGTGTTGTGATAGTTTTCTGCTAGCTGTTCAGCCATAGACTATGTGGAAAGAAAATAAATAATTATTCTACCTAGTTCTTTAAAGGTATGTGAGCAACTTGTATGACCTATAAATGCTGGGGAAAATCTGACCAGAAGAGACATACTTGCAGCTCTCTGGAGAGGGCCATTCCTGAGATGTCTACTGGCTGAGGGCTGTATCCGTGACTCGGATCATAAGTGGCCTGAAGACAATTTAAAAAAAGATCTTGTGTGTAACAGTGTCCATGTGAAGTTTTTCAGTAAAAGAGAAACTCCATTGTTTCCCCAATTTAATTAGGCCAAGAGAAAATTCATTTTGCATGATCCACGAATGTTCTGTTTTCACACTTATGTAAAAACCTTGCATTCCTATATGGACTTTTACCTGAGCAGTTTGAGAGATTTTGCGCGTGGCGGTGGTGGCGGCGGCCTTTTTCTCGACTTCTCCTTCTCCATCCCTTGCTTTCTCTATGGTCCACTCCCATGCTAGCATAGCTTTGACGGATTCTTTAATGGGCCAACGATAAATCTCCTTGTCCTGAGAAAAGAAGGTAGAGGGCTTTACAATTAACAACTAAGCTATACTATGAATGCCCATAACAATAATCATGCAAAAATAGTCAAAAGGTAATGAATACTAATTAAGAAGATCTGGCATCCTCATATTTAATGGAACACAGGGACACTACAAAAGGTTAGATACGATTAAGTGTTCAGAATTTCAAGCTTCAGACTAAAACAAGTGAAAAATCATTACCTTTTCAGAGAATGTTTTGTATGGCCGGAGCATCGGGTGAGTCTTAGCATTCTCATCTAGCACCTCTCCATACGTCCAGTTGTTCTGAATCTGAAAAATGATTTAAGCAATTATTACAAGCAATACTTTAAAAAACATTATTGCTTACATTATTCCCTTATTACTGACCTTTTCAAAAGCCCATTTATCATGAGTGTGTTCTGCATACTTGTTGATGAAAGGATCCAGTCTCTCTGGGATGATAGTGCTGAAAATTTAGTCATATTTACTGTTACTCAAATAAGCTAATATCTAAACTTAACTTCAGAATGCCACTATGACTTTATAGAAATTACAGTGTAGTTTCATGTAAGATGTTAAGAGCTGCCTTTTCAGTTACATTCATAACTGCACTTGAAGATTTGAGCAACACTTAAACACACACACCACACTCCACAGGATGCACTCAGAAGCTGTCCTACAATTTATATATATATATATATATATATATATATTTTTTTTTTTTTTTAACTGCTGAGTGACTGTCTGCTGCTCGTCAAATACATTTTATTGCAATGTTGACCCTTATGGAGTGCCAGGACTGACATAATGAATTAATTAAATACACCATTAAAAAATTTATTAATTGTGGCAATAATTGATTACAATTGTCAATAAATAAATAAATAATTAATATATAAAATTTCATTAAATATTTATTTAATCAATTATTTCCCATTTTAATGAATTCCTTTCAATTATTGACACATTTAATTAATTATTTAATGGTGTATTTAATTCATTCATTCATTCATTCATTCATTATGGCAGTCCCAGCATTCCATAGACCCTGTGCTAGCTTGCATATGACAAATACAACTGAAACTGGAAACAATCTTTAAAAAATCTGTTCAAATATGTAATTATAACTATCCATCACTGACAAGGTACACGTTGACTCTCTTCCAAAAGCAATAATGCACTAAAATAACATCAAACAGTCTTTCTTTCAGTTCTCACTTGGTGGTCTCTACTGGTTTTGGATCAAAGTTGCCTTCAGCATCCACAGAGGCCTTTTTCTCAGTGTGAGAGGAGTAGCTGGCATCCACATAGTCAGGGGGGATGGCTCCAGCTATAGCACAGAGGCAGGGCATGGCAATCTTGAAGAGCTCTGCATCAAATTTCTAGAATTTAAATTCATATTAGAGAAGCCAAGTTAGTAATTCCTTAACTTAAACGATGTGCACTTATGGAAGGTTAACAACATCTCCCACCTTGTGTGCCAACGATTCGAAGATTCCCCAAAAGAGTTTTCGAGAAAGATGCAGCTCCTCCTCAGAAGTCACCCCAAAGTTCGCCCATCCATTTGGCAAGCAGTAGTACTTCCAACAGCGCTCATAGTGATTGGTCAGCAGCTGAAGCAATTCAATTCATATGTGATATAAAAATTAGATTATATAAACAAACAAACAGAACGCTGTTATACAGAAGACTCACCTTGAGAGGCATCTTTGCATATTCATTGAGGATGGGTACGTCAAACACCAGCCGCCTAAGCAAATGCTGCAGCATAGAGGGTCGAAGGTATCTGTGGATATCACCGTAAGTTTAAAACTGTTTGAAAAGGCACGTTTCATCATTCACTTCAAAGTTTGTAATTTGTTGTGAATTTGCCGTTATCATTAGATCTTTCTTGTAAAAGAGATAATGTCTCGAAAACCTCCCCAGGCTGAATAAAGGTTAAACAAATAGAAAATAAAGGCTTCCTTTTTGGAGTTATTCAGCTCGCTTATTTAGCATTTGCTATACAGAGAGGGTTTTTTTAAATACTGACTTGCAGAGGGACATGAGACACTCCTCTATAACATCCCTCTGAGCCTTGGTAAGGGCTCGGCCACGAGACAGGCGATAAATTGTGTGGAGCATGGAGTCGATCATGATGGCCCGGTGGTCTGTTCCAGCAAACAATGGCGCACACTTTGTAAGAAGAGGCAGTACAGCCGAACAGAGGTAGCGGTTCAGAGCCAAGGCCATTTCAGTTGTGCTGAATGCCGCCTAAAATCAGAGAAGACAAAAAACTGCTTAGACTCACTGCATTACCTTAAAGACAGACGGATACATTAACTATATCAAAGGGAATCTATAGCAAATTACATCAATATGCAGACTTTGTACTGAAATCTAGAATTTACAGAAGGAAATTTTATCTGTTAGGTCTGTGCCTTTTTTTTCTCACCGTATCCAGAGAAGCTGCAGCTCTCATGTCAGGCAAGAAGCCAACCTCAAGCACATGAAGCAGGAAGTCCTGGTTATCAATACCGTACACTCTGTCGAGGAAGAGCACCATGGAGGCCTTGTGGTCTGGCACAAAACTGGCAGACATCTTGGGCTCAATAATCTGGCCATCTGTGGTTAGATAGGAAAAAAAACCTTATGAAGTAGGGCGCCACATTTTGTAAATTATTACAAAACATCCCTGTATCAGCACAACTTTTTATCCAACCTTTGCCATATGCTGGAATCTGCACAGGTAAGCTGATTACTCCAACCAGGTCCTCTATAGGCACCAGAGACCTCAGGATGGCCCTGATTCTTAGAGCTTCACCCTTACCCGCTTGGATCAGCTACAAATAAAAAAAATAAATAAATTGTGCTATATGAAACTAACTCCTACAAATCAAACACCCACAGATCCACTCTTCCTGGAGGTTTGAGGGATAGAAATATGTTAAAAGCTGCTCTACTTACATGCATCTCTGGGGCACAGCGACCCAGCAGATCAATGAGAGCCGAGTAAAAGGACATGATGGCATTTCCCAGATGCACACGGTTCTCCTCGTGCTGTTCCTCACCACCAAACCTGCCAATCCAGATAATGTTATTTTCTATAAGAAAATTTGTTGTGCTGCTGTGAAACTACACAGTGATTTGTCTAAGCTGTTAGTTGGTGTTATTCTGTCAACAAAAATCGAATTCACTGCCACTGCGCCAGCCCTTACATGAAGCGCCTGTCTTTCTTAACAGTGGGCCCATCTCTTGCCGGATCCTCTGATATCTTGATGGCCTCCTCCATTGCAGCCAGCAGGCCATTACCACCCTCTCCTCTCAGGGCTGGGCCAAAGCACTCAGGGCGACGGATGAGCAGACGCACCACAACGGTGGCATTCTCTTCCACGCTTTCTCCTAAGGGGAGTAGGTTGTAGGAGGAGGTAAATATTAGTGGCGACTACTTACAAATCTCATCATTATAAAATAGTCAAAGCCAACCATTAACGAAGACAGCAAAGCGGAGGAAATCCAGGTATCTCTCTCCGCCACAAGGATTCCAGCCAATGTCAGGGTAGCCCTTAGACAAGAGCATTGGACACATCTGCAGTCCACAGCCTGCCAAGTATGTCACCACCTACCTCGTGTGAGTACCAAAAGGAGAGATTATCAGATAACAGTTCCACTATAGCCTTTTTTAAAAACATTTTTTCTCTCTAACCATTTCCAGTTCCTGCTCTTGTAAAGCCAAGGCCAGCTCGTTATTGTCAATACAGGAGGCTGCAGCCACATCCAGGGGTGTGGATCCACGCATGCCTACATAGGGATATAATCAGTGAGTTTATTCATTCATCACCTGGTATAAAGATCCCAGCTCATTAAAACTCATTTAGAAACGTCTTACCTGCATGCTTCAGTGAATTAAATTTTATTATAATTGTTTCATGATTATTCAAAATAAAAAACATTTTAAAATAAAATCTGTCCATAATAAGCCATACACAGAGTACAGTAAACAGTGTAACAGGGGACTCACCCAAGCCGATGCCGCTGTTCTGCAACAGGTAGCTCAGATGGTCAAACATAGAACGCTGGTTCTGTCGGCTGATACGGCAGAAGTAACACAGGAAACGACAGCAGCTGGTCACCATTTGGGGGAATCGAATCTCCTGGGCAAGAAAAAAACAAACATTTTTCTCAGATGCATAATGTCTGATGTGTGCTGTGTTATAAATTGCAGGCCTGGAAAGTGAAAGACTTGAAGAAATCACAGTTACCTTCGAATCTCCTCCTCCACCTAACACGTTGACCATCACTTCCATCACAGTCTCATGCATACCCAGAGCTCTCATCAGATTGGGGTGTTGGTAGAACACCTTGTTATTCATGATATTTCTGAAAAAAAAAAACAGAAGCCATACATCAGTGTTACATTACTTAATAAAATAACATCACATGTTCTATTATTATAACTCAAAATGTAACAAACTAACTCTAAAATTCCAAAGTATACACTATTTATCCCCCACACTAACCCAATGCTCTGGATCATAAGCCGCTCCTCTTCAGGACCCATCTGGACGATGAGCAGTGATCGGATCTGTCCCAAACACTCAAGTAGTTCCATGGTGTCCTGAACGGACACGGCATTGATGGCATATGCTTTGGGCAGTGCTCGGATCAGCTCGCCAAGACCGTCGTACAGTCGGTGTAGAAGGCTGAACATCAGTCGCACCAGCTCAGGGTTCTGAACAAAAGACTCCTGAGCCCAGTGGATCATGGTGTGGGAGATCAGCTCCTGAAGGGTGCCTGGGTGAAATGAAGGAAGAGCGTGTTATAAACTCAATTTAACTCTTACCCTAAAGCTAAAAAGAAAATGCAGATCGGGTCCTTCAACTGTTTCACAGGTAATCTAAGTGTTAATCTTACTGGGTTTTGCTTCTTCCTCCACCTCTGGCTTTTCCTCCTCCTCCTTCTTCTTACGGAGGCTTTTAACCTTGTCTACCAGACTAACAAGTCTGCCCCTCAGTGAAGTGTCCACCTCCTCCTCCTCTGGTTCCTCCTCAATATGTATACCTATGGTAAAAATGTGACAACAGCATTAAACACCCATAAACAGCTTTTCACACCTGAAGAAATTCATAATTACACAAAAATGCTCACCACAGTGAAGCAAGAGGTCATTGTGGAATTCTGCCAGTGTTTCCCGCACGTCCTCGGGAACTGGAGAATCTTCATCCTCCAAGTGTTTGAAGTTCGTTAGCATAAGAACCTTAACAGAGAGCACATTATAGCAGCTATATCAGGATATTTTGTGTGTCTTTTGCTATAAATATGGTTTGTTTTGTTGTCGTCTGAACAGCACATGGGAAACTTAACAGTTTATCATCAAATCTCAAGAACTAATAATTAATTCATCAAGTACATGGTTTGTACTTAATCATTATAATTAATCTTTAAATCCTTAGATCTGATGATAAACTGTTAAGTTACACTGATCACAGTGTAAGTTCTTACTTTCCAAAGATAAATATCAACTAAGAAATACCATCTAAATTAATTCAAACCTGGAGCCTATGAGACATTTGTTTAGTGTGATAATATTAGTTATTACCTGGTCCTGTGGAGGCGAGCGGAACTCCCGGGTCTTGCGTGCAGTCTCAGCAGCTGACATGGTGAAGGCTCTCATTAGCTGGTTGTAACGGACACGTTGATTGCTCTTAACATCATGGACAAACTGGTCTGAGAATGCTACAATGGCTTCCACCCTGTGTCTCAGCTCGCAATCGCAGAAGTACTGCAGGAGTGTGCACATCTGAAAGAGCAAGGTGAGACAGGAACATAAGTTCTAATGTTCTAATATGAGATCCTCTGACACAATTATCCACATCAGGTGTAAAACTGTAAAGCAGTCAGAGTTTAAACATCACAATGACCTGCAGTTTGACAGACTCTGGCAGCGTCATCTGTAGCAGTCCTTCCTCCAGACCCTCGTCTTCCTCCTGTGCTTCTGCTTCCACTGCCTCTGACTCCTTCTCTTCCTCTGCTTTCTCTCCATCTACCTTTCCTCTCTTAGCCTCTTCTTTGTCCTTTTCCTCCTCTTCTCCTTCTTCCTTGGGCTCAGCCTCTTCCTCCCCACCCTCTCGTTTCTCCAGCTCTTTTAGCTCCTCCTCTTCCTCATCCCCAACCCCTTCATCCTCAAGCTCGTCTTCGGCTGCTTCTTCCGATTCCTCCTCCTTCTTTTCCTCAATTTCTCCTTCAGCAGCTCCACCCTCTTCAGCTTCCTCCCCTTCCTTTCCACTGAAAACATTGGGATCGATCATCTTGAGAATGTGCTTGGTGTCATCATCATTGAAGATGCCCATAATAAGCAGTGTACTGATTAGCTTCAAGATTGGGACAAAGTGGAACTCTACACTGCCTCCTACTGGATCCCGCATGGCCTGGCTACCATCCAGCACAGCCTCTCGTAACATGTTAATCGCCTTTGTTTTCAGCTCCTACAGAAGCAAAATAACAAGTAAGTAAAGGCAGAAAACATTTAAGATTTTTGGTTTAATGCACCTTGTCTCCTGTTTCTTACCTGTAGAGGAAAGACAGGACTAATGGTGTACAAATCAGGGTCTGTGCCAACAAAATTGATGGATGAGAAATGCAGCTTTGGCCGTAAGCAGGTAGTGAGACCAACACCAGGTAAGGAGTGGGCTTTTATTGCATCAGGATAGAGCTTGATGCTGAGGGTCTCTTCGGTCATGGGAACGATGAATTCCCTGTTGGTTCCCAAGCGTGCCCGTTTTGCTGATTCCAGATGAATGCTGATAAGCAGATCATAGAAGCCGCTGCGAAGAGGTCCAGGTAGGTAGGTGTTCTCAATAGCATAGAAAAGCTGGGATTCATCCACATGACTGCATAATGCATGAGCCACTCGGTTGTTCCCAAGTGCGCACACAGCACAGTAGAGCATGAGTGTATGATAGTGGAACTTCATCAGATCCTGACGCTCTGACAGCTCCAGGATATCAATACATCTGTGGAAAAAAAAAGTCAACTTCATTGCATTGTATGCATTATATGATCATGACAAATCTTTTGTAATAACTATATGTTAATCGCTCTATATATTTACCTTCCCTTTCTTAAATCACACTCTCATGATAACAAAAATGTATTTTTTGGTTTTCAGCTCTCTTAATGCGGAAAAAAGAAAATAGCTTCTTCCTCTGACATCTCTAAATACATCGGGTATAACAAGTAACTGACATTTGCAATGATAAAGTTAAAAGATGTAGGGATTGCTGATCTGCTGCTATCTCAATTATTTATAGCAGGAATGTCATAAATGCTATATGAAAACTCTAAACTTAAGAGTTTTCTGCATCGACATTCTGTTTCTGACCTGTTCTCCTCTGGGATGTGCAGTGCCATCATGATGAGAGGTTCAACACACTCCACCATCCAGCCTAACCGCTCATTTACTTTGCCCATCTCTGGTTTGAGGAAGTGATTTGGCATACGACTCCAGATAACTGGAGTCAGCATCTGGACATCCAGCCTCGGGGGGCACTGAGGGACTGGATTGTTACGTTCACTGTGGAACATCGCAGCTGAGATAGGCATGATGTTCTGATATGAGAGATACAGTAGAGGTGAGCTTACTGTCATTTGAAGGAAAAAAATTAATTCAAGTAGATTTGAAAAATACAGAAATTCAGATGTGAAGGTACAGGTAAAAAAAAATAGTGGTTCATTTTATTAAAAACACCAAACATCATCATTAATAAATGATGGACAACATCTGGTCCAATATTAAAAGAGATAAGTAGGAGAATTGCAATGCAAGATTGGACCGTGCTCCACTCCCAAAGACCACCAACGTGGGTCTGACTTACATTACCATACATTTCTAAATTGGTGACACTTTAAGAAAAGGCAGCTGCAAAAAAGAGTGAAAACCGTTCCATCTGACCTTGAGTTTGCCCAACTCTAGCTGCACCATGTTCTGACTGAACGGCTGAACGAAAACTGCAGGGAAGAGTTTGGTGTTCGGCTCCACCTGACAGAGCATAGCGTTGTCACATAGCTCATCAGGATACATTTAAAGCAAAGAATAAAAAACACAGATAAATCTATTTGACTTTCCCTTACCTGGTAGAAAGTATTAATCTCCTTTCCATTTGCCATAAAAGTCATTAGACCTGTTGCCAGATCAACAAGGCAGCCAATCACCATGTCCTCCTGGCTAAAGCGGGTCTGTTGATTGCTGACCAGGTCCCCTCCCCACACCATGTAACAATTACTGTGCTTCATGCTGCAAAGAATGAGCAAGAAACACAGCTGTAATGAAACTCACTCCAGTTAAACTCATCTGTCTCAATTGAAATACTGCAGCTGATCCAAATTCTTTACAGTAACTAACAAACCAAAAAAAAGAAGTAGATGTAAGCAAAATAGAACCCTAACTAACTTTGAATTGTATTTTCTTTATTTTATTTTCTGTCATACACTGTGAATATGAATAGAGCTTCAAATAATGAGTTCAGCATATGTAAAAGTAACCTGATGATTGTATTTTCTACAAAATATGAGTTTTTTTAAGAATAAGAAATTGTCTGTGAAGGTTCTCAGTCATCCAGGTCATCGTAGTCAAAGGAGCTTGCAAAGAAAAGCGTCTGGACTTCTTTAAGTTGCTTGAAGACGTTTCACCTCTCATCCGAGAAGCTTCTTCAGTTCTAAGGTCAAATGGTGGAGAGTCCCAGATATAAACCTAGTGGGAGTACCCCCCACAGAGGGACAAAAGGACCCCCTGATGATCCTCTAATCGCCTGAGCCAAGGTGTGAAACTGGGTGTGGGTCCCAATCAGCCAGAGTTTCGGGTGTGTTCATTGTGAAACCTGGCCCCACCTTATCATGCGAATTCCTGAGGTCAGATGGCCCAGGATGTGAGTGGGCGTTAAGGCGTCTGGGAAGGGATCTCAAAACTGGATTATAGATGGCAGAGAGTTGGTGTCGTAAACCCCCGCCTCTGTTCAAAGATGGTCGCTCACAGTGGACATAGATGGCTTCTTTCACTCCTCTTTCAAACCATCTGTCCTCTCTGTCCAAAATGTGAACATTGGCATCCTCGAAAGAGTGTCCTTTATCCTTAAGATGCAGATGGACTGCTGAGTCTTGTCCTGTGGAGGTGGCTCTTCTGTGTTGTGCCATGCGCTTGTGAAGTGGCTGTTTGGTCTCTCCAATGTAGAGGTCTGGGCATTCCTCGCTGCACTGTACAGCATACACCACATTGTTAAGTTTGTGTTTTGGCGTTTTGTCTTTCGGGTGAACCAGTTTTTGTCTGAGCGTGTTGCTGGGTCTGAAATGCACCGGGATGTCATGCTTGGAGAAAACTCTCCTGAGTTTTTCTGATACACCGGCTACATAGGGGATGACAATGTTGTTGCGTCTGTCCTTCAGTTTCACACCTTGGCTCAGGCGATTAGAGGATCATCAGGGGGTCCTTTTGTCCCTCTGTGGGGGGAAACTCCCACTAGGTTTATATCTGGGACTCTCCACCATTTGACCTTAGAACTGAAGAAGCTTCTCGGATGAGAGGTGAAACGTCTTCAAGTAACTTAAAGAAGTCCAGACGCTTTTCTTTGCAAGCTCCTTTGAATAAGAAATTGACTTTTTGCAGCAGCCAGGCGAGGAAAAGTGGGCAATTAGCATGAGGGGGTCTTAAATAGACACGAGCTTAAACAGATAATGAACTGAGAGGCTGCATCTCAAAGTAAGTAAGATCCATAAATTTTTTTTTCACTGTAAATCATATAAAGCTGCTCTAATGAAGTCCCAGAACAAAAATATGGAGCTGGAAATAAGCTTGATGGGTCCCTTTATTCATTTAGGTGCAATGCCAAATTAATATGAAGGCATATTTAATTTGTAATTTCTTTGTGTTGTTTGTCTTTACTTCCACAGCATTTAAATAAACAAATCTAGCCTAAATGTCATTAGATTAAATTAAGATTAAATAAATAATACATAAAAAATATATTTATAAGTTTTCCTCAATGATTGGCCAGCAATAATAAAAATTTATGCACGAAAAAAACTAACCTGTCATGTATGTTGCCTCTGTCATCTCCCACTGTGACAGTGACACTGCGGACCTTGGAGAGGTCAAAGTTTTGATCATACATGTGGTAATCAGGAGTGACCCAGCCAACCCAAACACCAGACGGCTCCTGCCCAGCAAAGATCCTCACAGAGTAGTAATACTAAAGACGGGGGAAAAAAGAAGAAATCATATTATTTTATTATCTACAGATTACATGAAAACTTAAAGCCATCATTCAAATTGACAAAATCTCAGGTAATAATATGTGTAACTGTAGCAAATAATAACGTGAATCTCACAGTGGTGGTATTTTGGATGATCTCAGGATCATCTCTGTCATCAGGGACCACGTCTTCCACCAAACGTGGCACCGTTGGAGGAGCAGGAGGAGGGGCAAGAGGTGTCATGGCTGCCTTCTTGGCTTTGGAGAAAAATCTGTTGTCCACGGAAGATAAATAACATTTGGAATTAGTGTTTTTTTAAAGGCTTCTAACTGCTTTACAGTTTCAGTGGATTTCATTCTAAAAGAACAAGCCAAATATCACAACTTCAGTTATTGGTATGTAGCACAAATATTCGTAAAATCAAACAAAACAAATAAATATAATAAAACAGAAGGTGATTGAGATTGTTCTGTTTAATTTATATTAAACCAGCAACCATAACAGTCCAGAAGATTTTCATTATTTTGCAGTGACAAACTGACAAACTTACCCTTTTTTCTTTCCCTTTTCTGACATTGTGTCCTTCTCATTTTCCACGGAGATCTCCTTAGGCACAGAGGGGTCCTTCTTGTCCTCTTCCTGCTCCTTGCGACTGGCAGACTTTTTCAAAACTTCAAACTCTGAGTCAGGTTCTACCACTGCGACTTCCTCCTCAGGTATAGTAAGGGCACGGGTGAGAGGGGTGGTACCTGCCGGGATCTTAAAGGTCTCATGGAACTGCACAGGCATGCTGAGTCTAAGGAACATCATATCAGTGTTGGCATTCTGCGACCCAAACGTCTTGTGCGTCAGCTTCAGACAGGGGGCGCTGTCCACGGTCCCGTCAACACGGGAGACCTAGGAGACAAAAATACAGAAATCACTCATTTTGAAGTTCTAACTTTATTAAACTTTACACATGTCTCTGAATAGTTACCTCAATATGGTTGTGATCAGCAGGCACAGGCCCAAACTGGGGCAAACTTTTACTGAACCACATGGTGATGTCTCGCTTCATATTGATGGCAAAAGGTTCAAATCCTTCCTGCAGGCCACAAATGGCAAAATAGCGCAGGCTGCTGACATCTTGACCAAGATTAATCCTTCCAACCTGAGATAGACCCAGGGTACACACTGGAATAAAACCTGATGGGTAGCATGAAAGGGAAGAAATTAGTTAATCGTTTTTTCAAGCTGCTGCTTATAATGCAAACTGGCACCAGTAACTTTTAGTTATTGGTGCTAATGCTGGTACTATAAAAAAAACAGTTCTCACCATCCCCAATTTCAATATCTTTGAAAGCCATCTCTGAGCCTGAGTCACTGATCAACATTTCTCCATTGAGTGTGAACATGATGTTCATCTCAGTCAGGTCTATCATACAGCCAACGACATCACCAGACTGCCACTGGCGGCCAAATGGTTCATTGCCAATATGCCACCGCTGGGCCTGGAAGAGGTTACAACAAATAAAATATTACCTATTTCCACAAAAACAGAGACATCATTTCCACCAGCTACAGTGTGCTACAGTAACCTTTTTTAGCTACTGACTAATACATCTTGCCTCAGGTTTACGAAACCTCAACCTTCTCCTATACAAAAATAATAAAGACAGTGTGATATTTTCTATTCCTACAACTTAAAGAACTTCTTTCCTCCTCAAAATTCAATATTTCTAATAGTTTGAGATCCACGTCACCCATTCAAAAAGATGTGAATGATTTAGAAAACATTTACACAATATAATTTTTTATAGACCAAGTTAACAAGTCTAAATTCGATTTGTAATGTTACCCTAGTGACTAACCTTATTGCCATTAAAGACGTAGGCCAATTCATCTGCTCCCAGTTCAGTGTCAGAGTGGACATTAGGACGTGCCCAGCCCACTCTCATCTCCCCCGTTGAGACTGCCTCAAACTCAAAGTACCACTTTCCTTGGGTGACAGCATACGACTTCTCTGCCCTGAAGATTCGCACCTTGTCCCCACGGGTGTTCTCAAGGCCATGGCCAGCTGCAGTGAAAGAGGGAAAACAAGACAGATAAAAATAAGAAAGACAAAAAAGGTGGTGTAAAAAAGATACTGTGCATTTAATTAGCGAACACATGAGGAAAGATTACTTACTGCTCTCCTGATCTGGAGGCTCAATGTTGTAGCCATAGCCAATGAGTGTACGGACAGCGTTGTTAACGCTGTCTCGGTTGGTTTTCTTAGTTCTCTCATCCAGCAGGTTGTAAGGTACCAGACGAGGGTTACGCTTATTAACAATGTCCTGAAAAGTGTAAAAAATGCAGCTTTATATAGAAAAGAAAAAAAATATGCAATGCATGTGATTGTAAGTGATTGATTGTGTACTTTAAGACAGACCATCCACCAATAAATAAAAGATCCACTAAGGATTGGGAAATCATCACCTGGACAATGCTGTAGGTCCATCCTTGCCGTACTCGGTCCCTCGCCCAAACATTATGCCCATTTTCTGCCAGTTTTTCTACAAGCTGATTCTGGTTTGGTGTCAGCTTGACATGGCTGAGATCAAGCGGGGCAGGCTTGTATCCGTTGCTCATCACATAGCTAACAGAAAGATATGGTTACATTTAGATCTGCATAGTTAAAGTATAAAATTATGACGAAACAATAAGAAATATCTTTTGTTTTCATACGTCTTGGGAAGCTTGATTTTCTTTAGATTCTCCTCCGCTTTCTCATCACCCATACCAACATGGCAACCCAGTGCTAGGAGAGTCCTGCGGGATAATAAAGTAAAGACATAAGTTCACCAATAATGGGACATAAGCGTTTTCCTCTGACCTTTAAATCTCTCAAATCTAACCTGCTACTCACTTGAGAGTCTCAGCAGACATCTGCAGATTGTAGTTCTTCTCTGGTTCAGGCAGACTTTGGAAGTCCACCAGACAGGGGTGGAGTTTCTTGTTGTCATCCCTAAACTGGAGGGAAAAATCATAGTTTTTTACCCACAGTTTATAAATGTGTGTAAATTTATATATGTATATGTTAGTTCATGCTTTTTATTTGCTTGTGTAAAGCATTTTGAAGCATTTCTAACAGTCATATTAACTTTTAACAGTTAAAAGCTCTAAACCACTTAAAGCTGATGTTGTCAAACCACTAATCTCGTATAGTTGCATCTGTTCTGCAGTGCTGACACCATACTCACAATCCCATAGGTCCAGCCCTGCTCAATACGAGTGATAGCCCAGAGTTCGTGAATATTCTCTGCCAGTTTTTCTCGGATACGTTCCAAGTGGGGTGGCAAGACAATCTATAAAGCAAAGGAAAGTCAGAAAACGAAAAGAAACAAAGACATCGAATACTGATTTTAGCTGAGGGGATTTTACCTGAATTGTGTCCACAGGGCAGGGGGTGAAAGATGTATGAGTGAGGGACAGAGTAGGACCCAGAAGATTGCGCACACCATTAAAGTCATGCTTGTACTCCTTGATATGTTCAATACGCATCCTCTCTCTAGGCAACAAAGCCTCGTAGCATGGCGCATAACCAGGTGGGGGCATGAATTTAAAGTCCCCATGACGACCACCGAGGAGGAACCGAGCCCTAAGGAGACAAAAACCAAGTGAGTCCAAGTCTTTATCTATACGACAGAGGTTTATATACTACTAAACTCCTTTATGACAATGGTTCATTGATCTTTAGAAAACTCATAATACAGAAAAAATTGATTTTATTTCTGTGCCAGTTCCTGAGCCTGTGTTTCCCTTCTTGTACTCATCAGTCAATGATGCATAAGCCCCATCTCAGCACTCTAAAGATTTATTACAGACAAATCCTGTAAGAGCTTTTAAGTGACAGGACTCTGAAGATTTTAAAGCTATTATTTGGGAGATTAGACAATAATCTAAAGAAATAAAAGAAAAATAATAATTATTAAAAATATAAAACTGGAGAAATTCTGAAATATAATGCAATAATAATTATTTTGTTACTTCCCCATTGTATATTATTACACCAATAGTCCAATAATTGAAATTAAATTACAATTTAAAAGGTGACAAACTCATGAAAAACCATTAAATTAGCTTCTGCTTGCATAATTGCATTGCATCAACATGTATCACATGAATTTACTGTTTATCAGTTACATTAATCAACAAAATACAAGTAAATAGTGAAACAGAGGATTACGCTTTATTTGTATGTTAAACTTACTTGACCCCAGCAGAAAAGCTAATGACAGGAAAGAAGAGGCCATCAACATTAAAGTTTTCAAACATTCCCTGAACTGGGTGGCCATTAATACGGAAGGAGATACTGGGCACACTGAGATCCAGACAGCAGCTTACAACATCATCGGCAGCCAGTGTATGTGCACTGGGCGAAGCCACCTGGCGGGCCACAGTACCTGAACAGTAGAGCAGGTAGTAAAGAGGTTGTATTGGTTACAAGAGATTGTAAATCTTCTTTTAAAGGATTTAAGGAAATCTTACCTGACCACAGATGCAGTCCATCAAAGCCATATGAGTAGAGGTCATCTCCCACACCATTACCACCCCAGCCTTCTCCTCCTCCAGGATAGGGGCTATAACCTTCAGTCAAAGCCCAGCCTACCCGCAGGTGACTCGCCTGTGCTGTCACAAAGGCTTCCACATGGTCTACCATCACCTCATAGTACCACTTCTTATACTGTGTTGACCCCTCACATGTACCCAAGAAGATGTTGGGCCTTACACTGAGTACAGAGGAGAAAGTACATTAGCATTAACTTTTATAGACAACAAGGGGAAATAACTAAAAACTAACAACGTGGAAATATTGCAAAACAATGTATATTTGGACACTTGTGCACCTTTAATTTCTGCAATATCCCAGAAGCATTAGTGTTAATACTTGTGTCCTTTTATATTTATATTTATCTAATTGTATCTCTATTTCTACACTTCTTTTTATGCTATTCCTTTGTTGTCTGTTGTATTTATGCTGCTATGATAACTCAGTTTCCCTCTGGGATTAATGAAGTTTCCCTGATTCAAATTTTGAAAACAACAGTAGTTCAAGTACCTGGTGACATAGTTTACAATGCTGGTCTGTAGCAAGAGGTCACGACCTGGAAGTAGATTTTCAGTGATGAGGTTCTGGTTGGACCTCACAGCTACACCGTTACACACACAAAGAGAGCGCAAGACATCCAGCACCTAAAGGTAGAAGCATAAACACTTTTATTAACTTAATTATCACTGGATTATCCGCTGGTTAAGATTACTAAAAACAGAACAGCAAGAACAAAAAGGATTTTTATGAGTCAGATTCATTCAGACATTTAGGACTGTCTTTACATTATGAGATAAACAGAAGAACTGCTGCCCATGACAGGAGAGAGACAGACACCAGCTAGCTACCACCAACAGGCAAAAATATATTTGCCTGGATTTTGTCTTTGCTTTCTCTTCTACTTTTTTTTCTTTACCAGTTTATAGATCCATAACTGATGTGATGGCCCACTAATACCTCCTCCACAGGAGATACTGGTAAGAGGAGATAAACTAGTGCCTCCAAAGCACTTTAGCACTGATGTAAAATCAAGCAAACAGGCAGTCCTTCATGCACACACCAATTTCAAAAAGTGCACAGTGAGAAAGGATGTCGTGTCTGTGTGTCTACAGACATGCATCTAAATCTTGCATATTTTGATTACATCTGCAAATCCTGACAAGAAACAACAGCAAAACAGATTTAACGTGTTAATGGGAAAATATTCAAATATGAGTGCATATCATATGGAGCTAATTTATTTTCCCTTTCAGTTCCTGGCAGTGAAATATAGCCTACCTTATGGTTCCTTCCATGTTTGTCCAAGAGAGAGATGATGGATTTGATGTGGTTCTCCTGGATGATGTTCAGAACCTCGGGGCTTTCAATTAAGACACAGTACAGCACCTCAAGAATACCTAAAAACAAGGAAAAGGGTTCACATACTGGTAATATTTAAATAATATACAGTCTTCAGGCCAGCTGCTGGCTGGCAGAGATAAATAAAGCAACTTGATGCAACTGTTCTTGTGAATTTTTAACCAACTCCTGATCTAGACTGGATGTACTGAATGTAAGGAGACTTGTGTATTTCAGTTATATTGTACTGTATCGAAGGTGTTATTAATCTGAGGATTTTCTAAGTGAAAATAACAAACAACACCCTAGGGCTTAATGCATTAAGCTGTGCCTATTATAAACAGTAGATCCTGCCAAGCCAATTAGTCGAAACACTTGTAATTTGTGGGTGGTGGATGTATGACTGAATGAGTAAGGTGCATTTCAAACCTGAGGAGGCCTCCAGACGGTCCAGCTTGCTGACCAACCAGTCGAGATTGTCACAGAACAATGCACAATTTGATCGGTTACCCCTGATCAGAGAAGCTGTGCAGTGGAGACACAGAGACAAATCATTTTTTCTTTATTCAGCAGAGACCACATGTAATTTGCGGTTTGTGTTTTCAGAGGTCGTACCCAGCAGCTCATAAAGGAGGTTGACAATCTCCTTCCAGGACTCAGCAGCCTCCTCTCCCGCAAATTCAGAAAAGTGGGCAGCAGTGTTGTATACGTTCAGGCGGTCAATGCACTCCAGCACAATGGTTATCATTCCCTGGGGTTGAAAACAAAAACAAAAACATCAGGATTCATAATAATAACCTGAGAGTTTAGGTCATGTTCACATCCATTTAAACTTATTTTGTATAAAAAATAATATTCCCCTTTATTCTGAATATAACACTGAAATTATTTCTTGCACTCATAGAGCAAGAGGTTTGGATGGCAGCATGCTGATTACCTCCTCCTGGAAGAGGTTCTGCCGGTTGCGGAGAGAGCGGAGCTTGGTCTGTTTCTCTTCGTGTTCCAGTTCCTCCTCAGGTGGGCGAAAGTAGAAGATGAGATCCTGAAGAGAGAGGATGACCGACTCCAGAGGAAGTGATCCTGTCCCTGGTGACTTGTTCTTCCCACTGAGGGAGTCCAATCCACTGAAAGAACAGATAAAAGTTAATAATAGGTTTATATGACTGCATCCTGCTGCAAAAAAGAGTTTCCACTCATCCACATTTTGAAAACATATAAACTTACTTGATGAACTGCCTGAAGAGGCCTGTGGTGCTGTAAATCATTCGAGCAGCCTGTGACTCTTCAGTCTGAGAGCGGGACACAGTCAAGGCATCGTCCATATGGCCCTCTTGGTGCAGAATAACCTGGAAACATTATTTTCCATTGGTGGTACTTATGTAGGAAAAAAGATTTAAGAACCTTAAAAAGGTTTGCCATTATCAATATTTACTTATTTTCACATTAAACATTAAAGCACACAGATGCAGGTAAACAATACTAAAATCTGACAAATGTCTGGACTGCACCCGGACTCTTCCGCATTGATGGTGCTTTTCCAGATTACAAGCTGTGAATATGCAGTAAAGTAGCTCCATATCATCAAAGATCCAGCCTTTCTAACTGTGTGGTGATAACAAGAAAGATCTTCCACAAGCCAAATTAATCCAGATGTGGAATCCAGGTTTTACAAGAATTTTCACTTTTGATTCGTCCACAGAATAGTCTACCACTTTACCCCAGTCCATTTTAAATGGCCCAGAGAAGATGGAAGTGTTTTTGGATCATGTTCACATGTGGCTTCTTCTTCGTATAATAGATCTTTAACCTGATTTCTGGAAATGTTCCTGAGCTGAGCCTATGCACTGATTTCTAAGGCAGAATCATGTCTGTTTTTAATGCTGTGCTGCCCAAGGGCCCAAACAAAACAGTCATCCAGTACTGATTTTTGGTTTTATCCAGTGTGCACAGATTTCTCCAAATTCTTGGGATCTTTTGATGATATTATGTACTGGGTGTTTGGTATGCAACGACCACAACTGAGAACAGGAAGGCAGCCCAGGGGGTAATTAGCACTGCCCAAAAAATCATTGGCTGCCCTCTCCCACCCCTGGAGGCCATTGCTAGATCCTCCTGTCTCAGGAAAACCAGGGCCATCACAGGTGACCCGTTGCACCCCGCACTCCACATGTTTGACATCACTACCCTCTAGACGCCTCAGGTCAATCAGGTCCCACACCTCTAGGCTCACAACAGTTGGTGTGGAGCACTCACAATTTCATTGCACATTTACAATGACAATAAATGGCTATTCTATTCTTTACATTCTATTCTGTGCTGAGGATGATGAAACATTCAATATATTCACAATTTTAAGTTTAGGAACGTTTTTTTGCAGATTGGTCATTCTGTATCTCTCTAAGATGCTCTTTGACCTGTTGTCAGTTAACATCAGTTGCAAAATGTTAATTTAGCTGTTTCTTTTTCAAAGTAATTACTTTTCCAACCTTTTGTTTTCCACCTGCCAAATCTTTTGAGGTGTGCTGTTATCATCAAATTCAAAATGAGCTCATATTGTTCTTAAAATAACTAGACATTTGACATGTTTTCTGTGTTCTACTGTGAATGAAATATTTTTATATTTGCTAATTATCATGTTTTTATTTATCTTTTACACAGTGTAACAACTTTTTCAGAATTGGGTTTGTATCTCACTGTTATTCCCAGGATAGTTCATTACCTTCCTTTTCATCATTCCCAAACGAGCAGCTTTAGCATCCAGGGCAGCATATGTGAGCCACAGGGCTGTAGACACATGCTGGACAAAGCACATGGACTCTCCATACTTAATCTCTGGAATGCCCATCCCCTCAACATCACGCTTCTGAGCCACCTCCACCTTCTCCTGCTCGGGGGGAGAAAAGGACAGTACGTGAGAAAAAAACTGAAGTCAATGAGAGAAGAAATCACGGTATATTAACTATGACTATCCAAATGCACTGAGAAATTCAAATTAAAATGTTGACCTTTGAAGCACGGAAGCAGAAAGCAGACAGTTTGGTGTTCGCCTTCTCGGGATCGACCACCAAGAGGCCCTTTTCCTCATCAAGACACAGGTACCGGCCCGTCGTGATGTGGCGAATACGAAAAGACTGTCCCCACTTCATGTGGCTACCACTCCAACTGCACAAAGTTAAAGAAAAAAACTATAAAGAAGCCAACTAAACTGTTTCATTCACTACTATATTTTGATTTTTGTTGCTCTTCCTTATTCTTACCTTACCCAGCAACTCAACCAACTAATGTGTGTCACATGACTCCCTTGAGGAGATAATCACCTGATTCTGAGGGGTTCCAGCCTCCACAGGGATCGAGCCTGACTGCACACAGTACCGCCTTCATAATGAGCCATCCTGTGGCAGAGTGGGCGCACACATACAGTATGTACATGGTATCACACTAACAAGAAGTTGTTCTACTAAGAGCAACTTAGCGTTCCTATATTCTCACCTGCGCTTTTCTTCTCCTTCCTCTGGTGTAGCGATGGCCAGACATTCGTCCATGTGGCCATGGAAAAGCCTGAGAACATGACCTCCTGTTAAATAACCTGTGTAAAGGAACAAACATCCATTCTGTGTTATGTTTATTTTTACGGGGACAGGGAAGAGACAGAGTTTTTTAAAGCAGGTTTGTACCCTCAGCTAGTTCACAGCCTGAACTAATTGGATTCATGTTCCAAAGAGTCTGCATGAAGGAAGCGTCCACCATGAGATCTCCACTGGCGTAGGACAGATGCTGGGGACAGAAGAGAAGAAGACGATTAAAAAAGACATACTGTGCATATGTTTCCATCATTGTGCAAAACAAGGAGCAGTCGTACCAGGTATCTCTCAGAGGACACACTGACAAGGATGAGGTCGTCACCCACCCTGACCTTTTCACCTTCTGACCTTTGTTTAGAAGCTGGATGAATAGTCCACCAACATGCCTCACCTTTAACAAGAGTAAGAAAAAAAAACAGCGATTTCCAAAAATATAACAGATAACTTGTGTTTGGTAACAACGTGCTGATACTGCACAATCACTGCTTATATCCTGTAGCCCAACAACAAAGTGGATATAAACTGCTGACTATTTTTGTCAGTAGCTTTCATGTTGGCAATAACAATAGCACCAGAGAATAATGAGCTAATACCAGGCCTAAAATGTATTCTGCTGCATTTCCCTTACCGGTGGAATCCTCTTGTAAGCCTACATCGAAGGCCAGCTTGTCCGTGAGGGACCGAGATGTAGTCAAACAGCTCAGGTACTGGAGAGATTTTTATAGAGGACATGACTCCAATTAGAGCATTTGAGGACATCTTATACAGGTTTACATTTATTTCTTGCTCATTTCTAGCCTTACCATGCCTGAGTGGTGGTGTCTCAAAAGGATGGCATGACCATACAGTAAAGTGCGGTGACCTCCACCCTGGGACGACTGAGGTGAGAAAAAAAAAATACTTAACAGGCCAAATCAACACAAGTGACTGTATACTATAACAAACACATTGACCTGATGGGGGGAAACAACGACACATTTTTAAAGGTTCAAAGGTCAGAAGAAAAGATTAGAGGCTGGTTGAAACTTTCAATAACTGAAAATGAATGTACTAAAGATCTTTAAGCTCTATTCAGTTAAGCCTGTCCTTTATATTGTCCATTATATGTAGCAACTTTTGTTGAATTCATTGATCCTGTATATGGTGCATAGGCTTTTCAGTCAAAGTACACATCCTATTAGGATCAATAATATGTATCTTTTCTTTCAGATGTGTTCAATTTATGTAAACAATATGTCTAGTTTAGTCACAAGTTTATATTAACCAATAGTGACCTGCCCAATTTATTTATTTAAACCCTAATGTCAGTCACCGTAGGTTATAGTCTCAAACACAAGCGCAACATTTAACATTTAGGGGTGCTGACAGGAAGATAAGACTAAACCTTTATTAAGGGTTTAGCACCCATAATCCACTGAGATGAGTTAGGGGCAGGTATGTCAAGTGTTAGGATGATGCTAACAGCTCTAAACTGCATTAGCATTAGCACGAGGCTTGGTTAGGACAGGTGTTGTGTTGGCGATTGTGTTGTGGGCCTTATCCCCAAGTGCGTGTGTTAAGAAGGAGCTAGGCCTGTCCGCAGCTCTGGGGTGTCCAATTTCTCCATCCATCCCTGACATATGTTGGTGGGAACCTCTGCTGGGCTGCATGCCATTCTATTCTCATCCTCTTGTTCATCAGTAGGGAAGCCTGGCTCTTCCACATCTTTCAACTCCTGTGAAGCAGGAACTGTCTAGACTAGTCACAATGCAGCTAATAAAAGGCTTGAAATAGTTTCTCTTAAAGCTAGCTTAAGATCATTGCCTCAGCTGTATCAGCTTTCATTCACCTGTCTTATCAAAGATTCAACACTGTTTTTTGGGGGGGTTTTTTTGATGTGCTAACTTATATTTTGATTGTATACTAATCAAAATGGCCCATTGTAGTTAAATTGTGAAAAGCATACTTAACTGGTAATCATCTGAAAATGAAAAAAAAAACCCAAAAACAACCAAAAGTTTCTCTTACAAAAACCTTCAAGGATCAGAATGCCTTGATAGTAAACCCAAGTGTGTACATTTATAGTGAATTAATCTTTTTTTTATCAATATGATAACATGTTGTGAATAAAAGGAGAACTGGGATGTGTTATAAAAATGGACCTGTTATGCTCATTTCCAGCTCTTCATTTTTATTGTTTGACTGCTAGAGTGGGCTCACACAGGGCTTTGGTTCAGCCCCTTTTCACCCACTGTTGTAGCTCCTCCACCTTTAAAGCCGCGCTCCCTTTAAGGCAGCTTTCTTCAGATTGTCTGGGTGGTTTTAACAGCATGTGGATGGGGCTTATGTGCTCTTTGCGAGAAGTGTCTGTTTGACATGACCATGTTAAGGATGTCTCCTCTTGCATCATACACATCTAAGTGTAGAAAAAACTCTGACAGACCAGATCCTGAGAATCCTGAGTGTTCTGTTTCCGGGGATTGTCTTTACATACGACCTTATTATTTGAATGTTTGGCCATGTTTAGTATGAGCATCCACAACTGAAGTATGAGGGGGAAAATAAGAAAAGCATAACAGGTCAATTTTTAAGACTCACAAAGAACAATGATCTAAAACAAATGAGCAACATCAAGCAAGGTAAAATAATAATTATGATGAATGGGCTGCGTTTTGCACAAAATGCAAATGAGTGACGCCTTGTAGCTATGTCTCATATTGTGGGATAGATTGAAGTTTAATTATTAGAAAAAATGCTGTGCTCTATTCTTGCTTCAAAACTGTGGGAAAAAAATCTAATCTTTTCCTAAAACTTTACTTTTTTATGCTTAACAGTGCTGTTTTTAATAGCTCAGCACAGAGACAGTGGACTTGAACTCCACCAGCTGCTAAAAGCTATACACAGGTGTTCATGACAATCACCTACTTATGGTGAGGGCTTAACTGATACAAACCGAGATGTGTAAATGATACAGCACTACGTATTTCATTCACTAGGACACCCACTTGCCAACATGACAGGAACAAGGACAGTTGCCAGGTTGGTTGGGACACACATTACAGGAAATAACACACGTTAACAGACATACCCATTTGTCCAAATCGACTGCCTGCTTTGCAAAGAGCAAGAAGGGAAGGGGAGCGGGTATCAGATGGCAAGTAACAAAATCATAATAAAATAAACACCAAAAATAAGTCCATTGATGGTGGTTATGTAGGCTGAAGGAATTTGGTTCATAATATCTCCCAACTGTGAACTTTTTTAATTCATTTTGAAAGCTCCATCTGTGATGGAGCAGAAAAATACCACCTACATATTAAGACAGGACTGGCACGCGCTACTAAACAGTCTGACCCACATAAACTGCAAATTTATTTCTCTCTGTCTAAAACAGAGACATGTCGAGGATCTCTCAGTCTCAGACTGGAAACAAAGTGTTCTGAACCAGGATGTTTTTAAGTACACACAGAACGATGTAGTCAACGGTTTCTTAATTCATATACTGTTAGAAACAGCCAACTTTGCAATAAGGTATGAGGTAAAAATTATTTATCCGTATTAATGTTAGCTGTTGTGCATCAAGTAAAACAGACTGGAAATTGTTAGAGGGTTGCTGCATCTATTTTGTTGTTAAACTTGGCTGGGTACTTCTTGTTGACATGGTGGAAATAGAGTCAATTTCATATGCAGACTTTCAAAAGTGTTGTCGTTTTTCTTGCCATATAGGTTTGGCGGTAGTGGGAGACGACACAGAAAAGTTATGCTCAACAACTGCACACAACAAATTGCAAACACAATGACGTTAGCAATTCCAGCTGAATGTGACAACTTTTGTCTGGTGACAGTAAGATGGACAGTGACAGAGGCAGTAAAATTGCATACAGAATATACACATTTTTGCATTCAGAGAGACATTGAAAATCTTCATAACTAAGTATATTTCTTTAGTGTGCCTTTCATCAGTCGCATTCCTTTTAGCACTCCATGAATCTCTTACATTTATGAATCACCCTCTCAATATATTTCTATATATCCTCTACTAGTTTCATTATTTTATTATTTTAGTTATGACCCCCACCTCGGTCATCTCCACGGTGTTGGCCAGCATCTCCTGCAGAGCACGGACTGAGAGAGACTGCTCCAGAATGAAGGAACATATGGCCAGGTCTGGGGGCACATTCTGCAAATGCATAAACAATAGAGAGGTAAATTAAAGTTGTTCAAAAAACAAACAAGCAAGTGGATGCACAAGGGAAAGGGAGGAATGGGTAACAGAATCTCACCTGAGCGTTGGATGTGGTTTCAAGGAAGCAGAGACGGTTCCCGAAGCCCTCGCAGGAGAGACACAGTTTAATCTGTTCCTTCAGGACGGTGGCAGTGCACTGCAGAACTACCTGGTCATCCTGCACTCAGTAAACAAACAAACAAACTGTTATCGATATTTCTTATTCACTGTTCTTTTAATTTTAGGATGCATCATTTTACATGACTTATTCAACTACAGTTTTCTCTTACATGTTTGTTGCAGTTGTGCTTGCCAGGTTGTTTTTTTAGGTATTTCTTTTTTTTATTAAAAACAATGTTTTCACTTGATATTGCAGGCATTCTGTTGTACAATGCTGACCTTTTATTGACTGAACTGAAATTCTCTGCAAGAAGTGCAAAAAAGGAAAACTTGCCTACAGCACATTTCAAATAGACACTTGCTGTAGAGTACACAGTGACTGAAGTAAAAATGACTAGTACACTTAGAGAAAAACCCTCTGATTTAGTATGTTTTATGACTTTACCACTAATTAATCTGTTGCTTTAAGTAGATAATCTATCACAGCGAATGCTAAACCTGCAATAATTTAGTGCACTTTGAAGCTATGAAACTATTGCATGAATAAATAACAACTTTTCAAATCAATCTTAGTTTAAATCCATCACCACAACAATAACATGACTAAAATAGGTAGATCTTATGTACACGTTGAGAAATTTGAATTGTGAATGTGTAAAGGATTAATTGGATATGAGCTTTCAGCAGAATTTAAACAGCTCCTTTTAGTGAGGTATGGCACAATATTTAGATGTGCCTCTATTCCATGGGCAGAATGCTAACAGTGAGTAATTTGTTTGCTCCTCGTCAATGCCTGGACGCTGCAGAGACTGTTGTAAATACAGCAATAAACACCCCCTCGCATGTGAACCTCACACCTGACACTCAAAATTCTCAGCTGTTTCTTCTACTCAGTCATTATGTAAGTGGCTCCATCATTTAACCTGAATACTATCCCCTCTACAGCTCTGGACGGATCCCTGACTTTTCTCCCCTCTCGTCTAACAAGTAATGTATCATTCTGTCTTCTCATTTCTTGAAGCGCTCGCTGTCTCACCCTGGTGATTCTGCAGCTGTAATGTGTCATGACTTACTGTTAGAAAAATAGCAGGGCCTTTGAAGCGAGGTCAAAGGCAGGAAAGGATTTTGCAGATCTATGTTTATAGCTTAGCATATAACAGGAAAATGGAAAACGATGCAGAGCTGTGACCTCATAACATCTACTCATCTCTTATGCCCAGAGGCCTCGAGTGTTTCTTTGGCTGAAAAGTGACCCCTCATCCTTTGGCTGAGCTATCATCTATCTCTCCCTCCTCAGCCTAGAAATGTCTTCTCTGTCCTTTCCTTGCTTTGCCTGCTCTGCACTTCAGAAAAGTGGAGCAATGTGTCCTCTCTCTTTCACTGCAGACATGAGCAACAGCACTCAATGCAAGTCAAGAGTTACTAAAACTGCACAGGGCTCGCACAGTTTTTTTTAACCTGACTTTTAAACCTCAGAAGTATCAGGAAACAAAATTGGATTTGGAAGATTTTTTTTGTCTCCCTTGTGCAACAACAATATCTACCTACACAGCACCAAGCTGAGATTCAGACCAGTACCTGCACGCACTACAATGACATGCATCTTTATCGACTCAGTATACCTGTTCTAAAGCCAGCATTACAGAACGACAATAAGGCTACAAGGTCTAAACAGCTCTAAGTCAGGGTTAAACTGTCTAAAGCGATCATGTTTTGAGGCCAGTGCACAAATACTCAAACCTCATTAAGCAGATAAGGCTGACCTAATAAGAGTCTGAAAGACTAAAGTTACCAAGTGGTTTACTGTTGAGTGATCAGGTGGCAACCATACACACTGTATGTCCTACAATTATACAGCAGTCCTGCTCATTGGCTTCTAATCTATTTCAACAGCCGCTGCCCCACATGGTAGACAAACACAGCTTCTACCTCTGCAGTCATGATTTAAAAAAAAACAGGATTTTCTAGAGGACTGCAAGGACTAAAGTTTGTATAGAAAGAATACTTTTTTTGTTTTCCTTATCAGTTTTTCAATTTGTGTTATTTTTTGTGCGTTAGTATTTTGTGAACATGTTCTTGAAAGTGGTTAATGATGATTATTAGCTAATATTTGGGACTTTGGAACAGAATAAACACCAAAGCCCCACCACACTGTGGAAAAGTCATTTGTGACACAGTGAAGATAAGAAACCAACTTTCCCCAACAAACCAATAGAAATGCTTCTTTAATGTATTTTACAGCTTTAAACAAAGAACCAACAGCACAAAGCACAAGACAGCTACCTGTCAAACTGGCTGGTGGAATGGAAAAACAGTCCTTGTGAGAACTTTGCTGGCACATGTTTAAACCAGTCATGCTGAATAACTGGTTTAAACCCTCCAATACACATTTATAATACTCCCAAGTCAAATGTATCAGCAGCTACAGGGCAGTGTCCTTCCAGAAGTCACACAGTGTGAATCACTTCCAATTTGACCACGTGAAAAGCTGACACACAAACCCACAGGCTTAGCTCACACAGTTATTAATAGAGGCAGCTTTAAGGATTTGGAAGATGTGCACCTGACAGTTAATTGTACACCAACCACAACTTCTGATTATTTGTTCATCTGTTGTGACCATATCTGATGGGACCAAGACAGCTAGGATTCACTGAGTGGAAGTCAGGATGTCATGATTATTACTCATCTGACCCACTGAACTTATACCTGAGCCACATAAAAACATAAAACACATTTAATGCCTCATGCAAATGCTGCTTGTAAGGCTACAGCCAAATCATGTTTGGACTTGGCAGCTGAAGTATCAGGATATGCGGATATTTGAGGTTAAAAGGAGAAGTTAAGACAAACGGAACGAAAATAGTAGACAGACAAACAAACAAACCAACTAGTGAGCATTAATAGCACCAACAGAAGTATGTATTGCACCAGAGATTTACAGCCACAAGCACAGATAGTGAAAGCAGACACCTTTGTATATTCTCTAGGGCCCTCTAATGGTGCACATGCAGACAGAGGATAGCCAAGGATTCCCCAGAAAAGCAGGCATGGTGCCCGCGGCAGACAGGAAGCAAACAAGCAAACAGATGCAAAATGGTGAGTGATATTTGCTCCCTCTAATCCTTTCATGATCTCCTAAACTAAGAGATTAGCCACAATCAGGGAACCAGGTGTAATAAAACAGCTGTGAACAAAGCTGGGGAAAATATTGCTGTGGCCGCGGCGGCGCGTCACTGTTTGGTTTGTTTGGTTTGCGGACAGTGACTGTTTATAGAGGATGTTCTTAAATTACAGCTGGGGCAACAGCATCTTTGACACACCGCAGGTCCCCAAGTGAAAGATATAGGCCTAGTTTATCTGGGATTTAACAGTTTATGGGTTATTTGGGACATCTTTACACCGGTATGTCCGATACAATGACGTCAACACTTGCAACAAAGTTACACTTCTAACTGCTGGTAAATTGACCATTTTCCACTAGCAGGTAATCAGCTTTAATTCAGCACAAAGGGACTGTGAGACAGGAACAAGTGGGTTTATAGACACGTTTATAAAAAAAAACTTCTTTTTATACTGAATTCTAGTCATATATTTAGAAATTACACTCACACACTCATCCAACTGAGTCAAGTGGTTTCTCACATCAGAATCAGCAGCTCAGCAGCAACAAACTAGTTCTGCCTTTTATGCTACACAGCTACATCTATGCTACTGAAAACCTGTCCTTTAATCGAATCATTAGCAAACAGATAACATATTCATTCTTTCTTTATGGCTCTAGATTTCTGTCCAATGCTCCCATTTAACTGTGCTGATGCAGGCCACCCCAGGCTATTGATTATATTCCTGTAGACATAAAAAGAGTGAGGGACAGCACATTACTCAATATGTGGGTGGAGGAGAGGAACAGTTCAATAAGCCAGAGGGGAGAATAGTGATGGGGTTTCCCTTTGAATACTGGGAGAGACCATGCAGGTGCACGATCAGCATCCTTCGTCACAGCTGTCTAACAGAGGGGTAGTAGAACTCACAGGGTTTTAAATTAAATTAAAGCTTCCAAACATCCTTCTCCTGTTCTCCCTGACTTTTATTGCACATTTCACTCAAAGTTTAAAGTTTCACTCTTTATTCTCATTCTTTTATACAAAGTTTCATACTTTGTACAATACTACAATGAAATTGTAGTAGTATTTTTCACATCGGTGCTAAAGAAACACATACTACTATATATGTAGTATGTGTTACTATGTATAAAATTATATATAAAATCAAATATTCAATATGTATATTTATATTCTGATGTATAAGCAGTTATGTCTTGAAACTCTTCAATTTAGACTTAAAAAAGCACAAAATCTTTATTTTTCCAATATCTTCTCAGGTCTGTGAAAGCTGAGGATGTGAAATCAATCATCGAGTCTGACAGCTGTGTTAGGCTGCATACAGTGCTCACCAGATAAAAACCCTATAATTTACCATAACACCTCTGAAACCATGTCATAGCATCAGTTGCACTTTTTTTCTGGGATTAACTGTAAGTGAGTTAAAAAAATATTTAAGTGCATTTTTTGGAAGTATCTGGATTTATGGGATTCTTCTCCACAGCATAATATCATTAGGAGGTATCTGACCTAAACTCAATCTGCAGCATGTGAAACTGCAGCCCCAGACCTGCAAGCAGATTAATTAAGAACTTTCTTCAGCAGCAAGAATAAGAAAAACACTCTATTAACAGATGGTATAGCCCCCACAGAGCCCTGATCTGAGTCATTGTGCACTTACATGAAGACACAGAACCAAATGAGAGTGGCCAAATCTACAGAAGAGCTGTGGCAAGTAATCCATTATGGTTTGGCTCATCCTACTTTGTACCTTCTTTGAAAAACTGTGTGAATTTTTGAAAAATGTTAAACAGCATCGCAGTTTGTCGTTAAACAGCTCAACGAAAGTTTATTTTCTTTTTCTCTTACTGCTAATGGTACATATAACTCCTCTAACTAACTGTTAATACTTGTATGACACTCGATAGTGAAACGTCATAAACGTCATTCAACA